AAGGGTATAGTTAGATGAATAATTTTTATACCAAATTTTATTCATCACTCATTGTTACAACTATGGAGTCACATTAAATATAGTAAGGCTTTTCAGATGGAAGATTATTATGATTACCATAGTCACAGTAGAAATAAATTAAGAACAGTGGTAAAGCCAAGGTAATTTTCTGAATTAAAGAATTTGCAAAGCTCCACTCTCCATGCTTTGGTCACGCTGATCAGTTGACTGCTAACCAGTGGTGGGAGTCAGTTTGGTGCAAACTTTGTTTCCACAGAAATATAAAGTCCCTCAATGCTTTAAACTTTCTGATCACATTTGCCAATTTTAATATAACTAATGGTTAGAAATAAAAGTAGTTGAGTAAATGAACAGTCAACTTGACAAGAAGCAAATACTGTTATTCACATTATGGATAAATATTTATTTTTGATTATCAAACATGACATAGCCTTTCTAGTTAGTTTTGCTACCCTTGTTACAAAAGAGAGAGCATGAAACTTCCTTATTACATAATGTAATCAGTGATATGAGAAACAATAACAAATTTAAAAAATACAGACTCGAGAAGAAATGTTGATATTAAAATTAGGTCCAATATTATCATCAATTATTGATTGTTGAACATGCTTGTCAACTATGTGATTAAACCCCAGGAAGGGGCAAGGCCCACCTGCATGTCCAAACTGAAAAGGCTATTGGAGATAGGGTGTTTGTGTGGCCTCTTAACACTGTTATAGCCTTTTCTCCATCATATCTGCCATTCCAAGGATTTATTTCCTGATGAACTTGGAACTCACACATTATTTATGTTTGTAATTAATTGGCAAGATATTTTAGCAGTGGCTAAATTCAATATTATTATTAAACAGCACATTATTATATCAATTTTATTTGCAATTTTATAGTGTACTCTAAATGAGTTAGCTCTCCTATGATTTTTTTTTTCAAATACCTGTTATGGGAAATGTGAAAACTGTTTACATATCATGCCAAAGAAGGATGTAGTTTATTAAATTTTCCCCCCAACAAAGAAACAGTGTTAATTGGAACACTTTCCAAATGAGGTTCATCTGTAATTGTTTTTATTAATAAGAATGCTGAATATTAGTACTAGTATTAGTTATTGAAAGTGAATTTTCAACATCTTGTTTCAGACAGTAACTTTAATCAATTTTTTTTTTACTTGCATTGAAAAAAGTTATTGTGAAATTTGTAATTTTCTTTTTTTCCTTAATGATAATGAAAAAATGAAAATGCCAGATGTAATTTTTAGAAAAAAATGTAATGTACTGTCTTGGGATTGAAAGTAAATAGGAAATGAATATCAATTGTATTTTTCAGGGTACAAATGTAACTTGGACTGGACTTCTGGGGCTGAAGCAAGAGCATGCAGCTGTACAGATGATTTATGTCTCGGGTAGCAGTGATGTTGCACGTGGTGCCTTGCCAATTCATCCAGATGGAACTACTTCCGTTATGCGCATTGGCCAAAGAATGAGATTAGAACAAACACAACTTGAAGGAGTTGCAAGGAAAATTCAGGTAAGGTTGAGTTCATTGGTTTGTGGAGGCAGAGCATTATCTTGTTATTGTTATGTTAAACAACTTTTTAGTTAAAATAAATCACTGTAGAATTAAAGCTACAAAATACAAGAAATAAATCTTGCATAGTAAACTAAATACTGTTTTAACCCCTTGCCGCCGGGTGACGGCGATACGCGTGTAAACAAATCGCTCGAAAGGTGGCGTGCGGCCAAACCAGCCGGCGGCGCGCCAAAGCGCGGCGAGCCAGTGATTCGGGCTGACGCCCCGTACTCCGGCGCTCAAAGTCGGCGCGCTGCCTTTGTTTGCCAGAGCGTAGAGTTTTATTTTCCTTTAGTACACCCGGCGTCATTGGGTTAAACAGTTTTGGTCAAGTAGGATATCAAAGTAGATCTTGTATTATTTTTTGTTAAAAAAGATATATACTGATTGTAATTTTGCTTTGTATTTGAACAGATGGAAGCAGAACACTGCATGCTATTGGCTCTTCCTCATGGCCGAGACTCCTATGACATTATCCAACAGCACAATAGTCTACGTAATGGCATTATCAACTATCTTGTTGTGAAACAGGCTGCAGGGATTGTAAATGTTACTGCTCCTGGCACTCATCAGGTTTGTGAATATATTCACTGTCATTTTAATCTTAAGTATAGCAAAGGTTTGATTATTCAGGAAAAAGACGCTGTTGTTTCAAGTGAAAGCTTGAAATTTCTTAACTTATGTTGGAGTATTGGAAAATCAGGAGTATTAGGAACTACCTGTCTTTAATAATAATTAAAAAGGAAGACGGTTTGTATTTCCTTTAATACATGAAAAAGAAATGTGATGGTTGGTAGCTCCAGCTTGAATTACACCACATTTGATATAAATTAATGTTTGTAACTAAAGGATGCTAATACTTGCAATGTATATGTATATTCTATATTGACACATTGTTTTTTTTGTATTTGATTATAATTAACTTAAATTTCTTTTCTTTTCCAGCCTGCATTTGTGGTTCACATATTCCCACCTTGTGATTTTGCAAATGAAAACTTGGCTAGAATATCACCGGATTTGTTGCATCGAGTTGCAGAGATCTCGTATCTTCTGGTGGTTATTGCTACATGCTGAGTCTCCTTTTAATACCGAAGAAGGATTGTGATACCTGAAATATAATTTTTTATGGAAAATGTACTGCCACTATGTTTTATGAGGTTTTGGAAGTGCATTTTTATATCTTGAAAAGGGACCTAATACCAGATATGAAATTGGAAATGGAAACCAAGAAACTTTTACAAGATAGGACTGAAAGTTGTGCTATATATGTAATTTTTCTTTTTGCATCAGACCATTTTCTTATTTTCATGAAGATTATAAGACAAAAAGAACTTGATATTTGTATTAATGAGTTTTATGCAGTGATGGAATGACCACTTCTTAAATAAAACTGCTGCAGAATCTATATTTTTGTGAAGTGTTAAAGTGTGAAACTGAAAAGACAGTAATAATCATATGATTTATACTATATGTATTAGATATTCAGAAATTAACAATGTAAGGAAAAGTTGATTTAAATCTGAATTGATTTTCTGTAGTTTGAGTTACCTTGGAAGCTGTAATTCAAGAATTAATGTAATATTATTTACTTTGTAATTAGCAGAAAATTGTAGATTCTATTAGATTTGCACAACTACTTTATTGCAAATAATGGCTTGTATTTGTGATGTATGTAAAAGAAAGATAATTTATTTGATTTAATGGCTGATACACAGAAATATGAACAATTAACAAGTAAGACCATGCTCTCTCTCTCTCTCTCTCTCTCAATGGTAAATGATGTGGAACACTGTGATTACCGTTTTAATGAACAATGTAACAGGAATGATAATAATAATAATAATAATAATGATAATAATAATAAAATGTGGAAAAGTGATCAAATGGCACCATTAAACTAATAAAAAAGGTAAATATTGAAGAAATCTAGGGATACAATAAACTGGTTTGATGTTGGTGTTAAATTATGGAAATGATCAGCTTGCCTCACTGTCGTGTTCTGATTGTTTGATGTGCACAGCTTGCAACATCTCAGTATACCTGTAACCACTATATATGACTAAGCACGCTGGAAAAGACGTAATATTTTGGCCCGACAGCACTAGACCCTGAACAGTAGTATGGCATGGAATGGCAGAAAATCTGGTTTATGGTGAAGTGGCCTAAATAGGCAGTCCATGCTACTGTTTCTGTGAGACTCTCCTATGGACACCCCAATTAAAGTCATATCTTGACTTGCCTCCACATGAGTGATGTATGAGTGTTGTGTAAGTTGTGCAGACACAATTTTTTGTGTGGCCTAACCAGCCTTGGGCCCAATGGTGCCCATATGCCGCCTATGGTGTTTAGACGAGCTGTATAGTTGTAAATACAATAATGATTGTAGAATAATTCTTTTTTACTGTTCATTTTGGTGGGTATGTACTTAAAAATGCTGCCACAACCACCATTATGATTGGTGATTGACACACAGCTAGATCCAAAGCTCTGATATGGCTGTGTGTGCACCAAAATGTTGTTCGTGTGTATACACTGCATTCAGGGTGGCTGTGTGCAGCCCATTGTTATTGTATGTACAGATCTAAGCATGGAGTCACCCTGATTTATTTATTTATCAGTCATCTTGTTCATCATCTGTTCCATCTTCCTCATAAATACTCCCCCTCATAAGTGATGCTCTGCCTCCTTGTTTTCATTCACATGCACATACACACCTGCCAGTCACATCTTGTCTATGTCTAGTGTGGAAGATCTAAGAAGACAGTTTTCACTATTACCAATTCCTACCTTAATCTTGTGATGCCTGTCTCCTGGGCTCGTGAGCACAGTCCTCAGGAACCTTCTCTGCTGCAACTCTCATTCTTGGCCAGCTATCATGTGGATTTCTCTCTCACTCATACACTTTCTCTGTTTTAATGTGGCACGTTAATATGAAGGAAGTCTGTTGCTTTTGTCCCCTTTTCTTTGATTTACAAATTGACATCTTTCACCACGAATTTGCAAAGCCTTGCAGAATCATCTGAGCTAAACCATCCCCCCCCCCTTTCTTTTATACAAAGCAGCTATTTGATTCTTACTTGCCTGTCACACTTCATTGAATAAGGTGTCAAACAGATTCTCATAATATAAGAAGGCGCCTAATGCGGATTAGCCTGCCGCTGCTATGGCACTCTTGGTATAGGATTTTAAAAGAAAATCTGTAAAGCATTTGGTCTAGATTTAAAAAAAGCTTACTTGGTTCTGCACTGTTTTCAGTTTCTCAGCAGAATTCAATCTATTGTATGTTTGCTCAAGAAGTTAGCGGAATTCTATTTTCACTTTTTATTAATATTATGTAAAATATGTGGCAAATCTATTTTTGATGTACAGTTTGAAAATGTGAAAAAGTGTTTAAATGTAAGTGTACTTGTTAA